ACCACTAGGCATGGGTTGATTGGACAACATGTTCGACCTGGCACTGCCATACTTCATGCTTGGCAAGTGTCGCGCATTCAAAAGACAAATGTGCCTGCATGGTCGCCTCCGCTCACAAATTTTGGCGCAAACGAGGCGCCCCAGCAGCCACCTGCCGAACCAGGTTCATGACCTTCGTGGGCTGCGTCTTCCCCAGAATGGAGCAATCACCAAGCTGGCCGAAGGTGTTCCTTCAGGGGCAATTGTTTGGCAAACAGCGTTGCTCAATTTAAGGCCTGACCCTAATCCAAAATATCCCCCTTGGAGCCTTAGAGTCAGGCAAATCCCAAATCCGAGAAGAGGTGGTATTTAGATTCTGTATCGGGTTCTCCCTTGAGGCGTGTGATTTGTGTGCGAGCGCGGCGTGCATGCCCAACCTCTCCAAGGATGGCACGAACCTGCCAACCCTGCCAACCCTAACCATATACTAAACGCGACCGCTTCGACTTCGACCTGCCCCAGGTGAAGAGCTCCCCAGTGGAGCGCAGTGCCAGGGAGTGGGTCCGCCCCGCCGCCACCTCATATGCTAGTCAAAATGGGGGATGCCAAGAATGGTTTCAAACCAACCTTAAGAAGGGCAGCCTCAAAAAAGCACACACACAAATGAGTCTCAAATGAGAGTGTCTCAAAATGTGGGCAAAAAGGATAGTTTCCTTTTGGGCCCGCTTTAAAGCCAACATAGCCAACCAAAGGGGGTTCCCATGTTGGCTTCTCCGTCAAAATCCTGGGCACCTGCATGATGTCGTCAATGAGTGCTTCCGGAATCACCACGTTGGGGCTGACATTGGTGAAGCAGTCCTGACCGCTTTAGCTCATGACATGACATGCGGAAAAGCTACTGCATGGCTTGGAGAGGCTGAGCACTGGCACCCTTGATTTGCCATCTTAACCATCCCCCTTCAAACGCGAAGGTTGGCAAGGCTACGCCTGGAGAGGCCGCACGCAAGAACAACCACACAGGCGGCACACGTGCCACACAAGAAACACCCCCCGCCCCCCTCCCCCCGAAGATCCTCGGGCTTTCCAACGTTGCCGCCCCAGCCGTAGAGCACGCTCTTCTCCAAGCCCGGCGGGTGGAGGATAGCTAAGCTGTGGTCCTGCGGCTTGGGAAAGGGGCGTGGAGGATACGTGCACACGCGTGAGGGTGGCTGAAGCCCAGCGAAAAAGGCACTGGAACGGAAAGAGGAGATAATGCGGGCAATGCAGCGCAACGCCAAACACGGGGTTCCAAATTTATCCCAGTTGAAAGCATCAAAATGCAAACGTCCTTAGCACAACTGCCACCTGCAATGGGTCCCCTGTAAATGTCTGACAGCCGGACCACGTGAGGTAAAAGCTGATACAAAAACCCCGAGGCAAAACTGTGATGCATGTTTGTGAACAAGGGAAGCTGGCCTGCCCACCAACTGGTGAACAAGGGAAGCTCGCCTGCTCACCAACTGGCGCCTGTTCCGTGCCTGGTCTTCGGCCAACTTCGTTGAACATGACACTCCCAATGAACTTCCACTGCAAGCCGTTGATTTCCATAGACGTCAAAGCACCAAACGGAAAATGCTGATTCACGACCCTGCCGTCTGCTTGCAGAGCAGAACTCCACACCCGCCACGTTGTCTGCTGCTTTCACATTTCTCTCTCCATATTTGGAGGCCCCTGTTTGTTTTGGTGCTTTCCCTTTCGACCTAATGAAAAAACATGTTCCAAAGCCAAGGCTTCTTTCTGGATTCATTTCAACCCATATCAACCCACCAAATCATTTTGGGATTTGGTTCCCCATATGGATATGCCCTCGAAAATGCGGATTTCCCTTCAAACCAGCTTCAATCCAAGCCACAAAGAGTACCCTCAAAATACACATACCCACATGAGCGTGTCTATCTTGAAGGTACCCCATTTTGTAGTTTCAAAGGGAATCAAAAGGAGAAAAACGCAATGTTGTGGTCTCTTCCCCCCCCAAAAAAAAAAAAAAAAAAACGCCCATGCCACATGCCGCCCTCCCCTGCCCATCCACCTGGCCGGCCGCCAGCACCTCCGCGTGCATGAGCTTGGCTTTGCCCGCCCCCAGGGGAGATTGCACCGGCGCCGGACTGGCCGCAGTGGGTCCGGTTCGAAGCCACACCATGTATCCAGCTATCTGCCAAACGCATGTATTGTAATGCAACGCAACGTACCCAAATGCATGCATGCAAATATCTATGCATCTGCGTGTCTATGTGTGTGTGTGTGTACGTGTATACGTGTGCTTGTGCATGTGTGTTCATTTATGATATGAAAATTGCGTGTGTATGTGTACGTGTGTATGCTTGTGTGCGCGCATGGGTGCGTGTGCATGTGCGCATGTGTCATGTGCGCATGTGCGCATGTGTGCATGTGTGCATGTGTGCATGCGTGCATGTGTGCATGTGTGCATTGTGTGCATGTGTGCATGTGCGCATGTGTGCATGTGTGCATGTGTGCATGTGTGCATGTGTGCATGTAAGGACGTGTGCATGTGTGAATGTGTGCATGTGTGTATACTGTGTGTATGTGTGTGTGTGTGAGTATACTGTGTATACTGTGTATACTGTGTGCGTGTGGATGCAAGAGTGCGTCTGCGTGTGAGCTTGTGCACGTGCGCGTGCGGGCGTGCGGGCGGGCGGGCGGGCGGGTGCGTGTGCATGCGTGTGTGTGCGCGTGGGCGCATGGGCATGTCGGCATGTGGGCTTGCGGCGTGCAAGCGAGTGGACAGGCGGACGTGCGGGCGTGCGGGCAGGCGCGCGGGCGGGCGGGCGGGCATATGCCTATGTGTAATGCATCTTATGCATGTGTGCATGTGTGTGTGTGTGTGTGCGCAGCTATCTATCTTCTGTCTGTCTATCTGTCTTTCGTACCTAATTTATTCTAGTCTATCTGCCGATCCATCGATCTATGGATCTGTTTTCTCCAGCTGGATGATGGTATCAAATTAAGGATGTCCGATATCCACACAAACATCATGGACAAGCCAAAAGCTTGGACCAGGTCCCATGTGGCTCTGTTGGCCGTGGGATGTCATCCTGTTCTTCGTGCCTCATCACTTCTTCACGTGCTTCAGCTTAATATCCATGGGCACTCCCTGCAGCATATCCTTCACCGGGCAGTGAGAATCCACCACAGCTTTCAATTGTTCGATGGTCTCGGTCTCTGCTGGTGACTCGACCGTGTATGTGCCCTCAATCTTGTTGAGGCCGGCACGGACAGACTCGTCCACCGCAAAGAATCCTCGAAGGTCGATGTGTCCAGTGAGTTCCACCGAGACTTTGCCGAGCGGCACGCCCATGGCATTGGCAAAAGCTTTGGTGGTGATCTCTTGGCAAGCGCCCAAGGAAAAGAGCAAAATCTCAATGGGATTTGGAGCGGTGTCCTTCCCACCGAAGCCCTCTGGTTCATCTGCCTTGATCTGAAAGTTTCGTAGCTGGCCGTTGCTCACAAGACCATCCACCAAGTGTGAAGATGACTGGAAGCTCGTCTGTGCCGAAGCTGGTTTTTTCTTGAAGTTGGCTTGGATCGCTGCAATGGCTTCAGCCGATGGTCCCCCGGAAAAGAACCTGCCCAAGGCTGGATACACGCGCGCAGGCCGCAGGATTGCACGAGTCAGCATGCTGGGAAGCAAAGGCCTGCTCCAAAATGAATATGCCAAATTTGCCTTGAGCCAAATGGCTCCGAATCTATGGAGTTATGAATCTATCGATCTATCCATTTATCCATCTATGCATCTTTGCATGCATGCGTGCATATTTGTCGATGCACACTAGCTGCATACATGTGCACATCTTCCCGTATTCAATCCCTCCACTCCCCCTGCAGATTGCCTCGCACGATCCTGCTTGGTGCCATCCCCCAGCTGCCCGCAGTTGTTGCGGCCCCAAGCCACCGTCTCTCCGGTCTGCAAGATGGCCATGCTGTGGTACCAGCCAGCGCAAACATGCACAACCTGCACCGGGCGAACAGAAATGGACCTGCGCCATCCGCGAACAGTGTTGTAAATCCCCAGGTTCCGACTTTTTTTCATCCCAGCTCACCCCAACGCCCTGGCAAAAGTCAAAAACACACTCACAAGCCTTTTCCAAGCCGCGCCTCTCTCAGCACGAAGACAGGCTGGTGCCGGTCCTCCTTTGTGCCATCCCCCACCTGCCCGAAGCTGTTGCTACCCCAGCCGTACAAATCCCCATTGTCGAAGCGCGCCAAGAAGTGAAAGCCGCCCACCGCCACCTCTGCGAGCTCCATAGCCCATCTTAGCGCTGCTTGTCGCCGGCAGCCATCAACATGTGCTGCTATGTTGTTGGGTGTTTTAATCACCCACCTGAAAGCCGCTTTTTGCAATGAGGAGCCGATTCTGCGATGTTGAAAGGACCTACCTTGTCAGGGCGCAAAGGTTGACTCAGTGCTGCTTTGCTTTTCAAGCACTGGGTGAGTTGCAAGATTGCACCGCAAGGGCATGCTGGCTTTGCTCAACCTATATCAAGCAGACATGCAGAAGAATGCGATGGTTTGACGCCACCATGTTGAGGAGCATGTTGAGGAGGGCTAACTGCCTATCGGTGCCGCCACGGTGTGTTCGTGCCACTACCTCCCAGCAGAAGCAGCGACAGTTCCGGCGCAGTCTGTCACAAAGCACATGCCTACAAACAAACCAAAAATAAATCCCGCCATAACCCCCCCCCCATCTTCTCAAGGTCACCCCACACGGGGACCACAGGTTTTAGTCCTTGTTCCATTTACCAGGGTTTCATTTTGGGCACCCCATGTGTGTGTCTGTGCGTTTCGCTCTAACTTGCACAAACGACAAAGCACACCAAGATTCAAATCAGGCTGTGCTTAACATGCTTCGATTCCCGCTCTTCTCCCGTTCTCAAGCCGAACCCCGAATGCCTGCCTGTACGGTTCGATTCCCCACAACGGAAAGCCACAGCTACCTTTCTCCTGAGCCAGTCACACCCACGTGCCTCCTCTCTGGCAGAGGCGGCAAGGAAAGCCTTGGGCCCATTGTCCGTAAGGCCCGTGCGCCGTTTGCTAAGGTACGAGGCTATTGGCCCCAATCCGTGCCCAGCAGAAAAAGATTGAGCTCTGTGCAAAACATGTCACCACCCCAACGCGATGCGCCCGCATTGCCGGGCAGCTGCTCGTCCACAGCCGCCGGTCGGAGCGTTGCCTGCAAAAACTGCACGAGGTGAGGGTCCCGGAAAAGGTGGCTCCAGGTTATAGTGCCAGAAGCCATCAGGTCTTCAACCAAGACCACATCTGCGAGGTTTGCGAGCTATTCATCTGGCTCAACGTTGGAAGCAACTACGTGCGAGTACTCTATCAGTCAATCAAGCTAATGGGTCCTTTGGGGCGCAAATAGCACAAGAATGCAAGTCAAGATGCAACGAGCTGTGCCAGGGTCAAGGGCCAGTTGGAGGAGTCGAAGAAGTCAAGGCAATTGTTCTTGTTGATCACCATCAGCCTGTCAACAGCACACCGCGAAGAGCAAAGGTCCTGCGTGAGACTAGCACTGCACCCACAAAAGGAGGTATGGAGAGAAGGGGGGACAGAGCGAGAGAGAAAGAGAGAGAAAGAGAGAGAGAGAAAGAGAGAGAAAGAGAGAAAGGGAGAGAAAGAGAGAGAAAGAGAGAAAGGGAGAGAAAGAGAGAGAAAAAGAGAGAGAAAGAGAGAGAAAGAGAGAGAAAGAGAGAGAAAGAGAGAGAAAGAGAGAGAAAGAGAGAGAAAGAGAGAGAAAGAGAGAGAAAGAGAGAGAAAGAGACAGAGAGAGAAAGAGAGAGAAAGAGACAGAGAGAGAAAGAGAAAGAGAGAGAAAGAGAGAGAAAGAGAAAGAGAGAGAAAGAGAGAGAAAGAGAGAGAAAGAGAGAGGGGGAGAGAGGGAGAGAGCGCGAGAAAGAGAAAGAACAAGCAACTAGAAAGAGAAGAGCAAAAGAGTTACGTTGCTAAGGACAAGTCGAATCGCACAACCATCTCGACGTGCCTGCCTTGCAAGATCCGTTGACAAGCGAAACACCTCCTTGTCATCCTCAGAGGCATCAGGTTCCTCGACGTTGCCTGGGTCGCACTCTGACGTTGAGGGGGAGCAAGTGCACAGGCAGAACTCCACAATGGGCCTCCTTTTCTAGGCTGTGCGGGCACAACCTCAGAGCCCTGTTCCTGGATCTCGTCAAACATCCCACCCCTCCAGCCTCGCAAATAGATGTGGTGCACAAACAGAGCCTCAACATGGACAAGGAGGGGAATGCTGGAAACGAAAAGTGATCCGCAACAAAGCATGCTCACCAGCATAAAAATGCATGATTGGCATGGCAATTTGCTCACTGGCCTGTCTCTTCCTTGGTTTGGTGAGGCCTAAGACTTTTCGCTCGGGCGCCCTGCGGAGAGCATTCCATAGAGGCAAACCATACCCTCTGGCGCCTGGAACAGCGCAATCTGGATCACAAGTCATGCCACTTGACTGTCTCGAAAGTCCCCGCGCCATTGCTGCAAACGAGCTCATCTCCCTCGTCAACGCTTCCAACAACAACCCGTCGGCCGTCAAAAGGAACACAGTCTAATGCCCTTCACAGGGCCTCGCGGTCACAGTCATGAAAGAAGGCGTTAGATTTGGATCCTCAGCATCTCTCAGCCCAACGCATGACTTGCCACAAAACGACCCGCATGCAGTGGGATCACCCCCTTCCCGCGTGAACAAGGCGTCTACCGAGCGCTTGGAATCCCTGACACACCAACACAATCCTGACTTTGCTGCACTACAAGGCCAAGTGAGATAAACTGAGGAGCTCGCTGTGAAACTCCAGAAACGTCAGGATGTTCCTGAGAAGTCCCCAACCCCAACCGTCCCCAAAATGAGAATCCAAGAGCTGCAAAATCGTGGACCAAAAGGAATCGAAACTGCGTAAGGCCTTCGTTTCATTTGGATTGTGACGGCAGGTTCGGAGGGGTTGGCGTTGACCGAATGCCACCGAAGCTGCTTTGCAATGAGGCGGTCCGCCTTGCGAAACCTGAGGTTCACAAAACAACCAGAACGCCCATCAAGCTGTGACCATAATTTAACTCACAGTCAGCTTGCGCAAGTGTCCAGCGGCTGGGCATGCCGGGGCAACCCTGCGCTATATAATAGGTCTCCAAACACTCAACCAATGCCACATTCCATCCCCTTATGGTTCTCTTTCAATGCGCTACTTCGCACCCAACATATTTGCGCTCCTCCTGCCGCCGCTCAATCCGGCCGAGAAACAAGTCGTCGCTGTAGGGGAAACCGGTGGCAGCGTTCTCTCGAAAGATTTCGCGGAAATCATTCCACTCCTACGGCAGAGAACGTGGGACAAGTGGAAAGCCAAGAAATACGCATGGGCCCTCAAAATATCAAAGCCGCCTTCTTTTGCTGCTGTATCTGTTTTTTTTGCCTTTTGGCTCGCTCCCTGCTGCATCCATTCTGTTGTGCTTTGTGGCCTGAGCCATGATGATTGTTTCCACTGGATACATATGACTCATGACTGTGTTGTCGAAACTACTTATGGGCTGGTTCTTGGGATGAAACCCCGAGACAAGGGCAGTCGAGACATTTCAGGCCTCCGGTTTGTGAGGCCCAAACGTCAACGAGCCGAAGTCTCCTGCCAATGCGGAATGGAAGCCTCTCCCAAAAGTGTTCGAAACAGAACTGCTGGCCGAATTGATAAACAAAGTGTTGATCTTAACCCATCCCCTTGTAGCTACCCTTTTGGGAAAGTAAGAGTTCTGGACCTATTTAGCACCCAGGCACGGTGCACCATGATCTTTCTCTTGCTATGGACCTTTACATTGGCTGACTCAAAGCCCTATTTAGGTTGACCCATTAGGTTGCTGACCACCCCTACCACTTCCAAGAAAAGGGATGTGTTAACCATCAGCTCCAAAAGATTCGAATTCCATTACAGTAAACTCCCTGACCAAAGGCTAAGTTCAACGGAATCATAGGTATGCAGCACCCCCAACACCATTTCAACACATCCAGAAGAGTTTCATAGGTCCTTTTGTACCCCACCGAAACGAAACAGGTGACTTGAAACCCCCGGCGCCCGAGCCCTACCGAACAGCTGGTTGCCTCACCTCGCTGTAGGAGCAGTCGAGCACGCCCGGCGCGCCGTCTGCCACCTTGGTGGAGCTGCCTCGAGGGTGAGCACAGGCCGTGCCATGAACACGTTGTTGCGATTTGTCACCCTCCCCCCAAACAACAAAAAGAAAAGAAAAAGAAGCGGTTGCGAAATAGACAGGTGGGGAGTCCCGGACCACCATCCACCCTCAAACACCACCGACAGAAAGCCCAGCCCACAAGCAAGAGCGGTGAAGTCACGATGCAAACGGTAGGCGTCTGGTAAGCTTATTGTCACCACGAGGACAGCCCAAGCATGGTTTGGACATGAATTTAATTGGGTCATAGTCGCTTGATCCTTGATGGTATTACTTCGCACGGCCAGGTTGCTGAGTGAGTGTGCTGGGTAGGCATCCTTCCCAGAACTTGGAGATGAGTCGTCAAGGGGCATGGCGCCATGGTCCCAACACGCGTTTGCCCCAGAGGTGTTTCTAGAAAAACGAGTGAGCCCCCTGATCCTGAATCATATGAACAATTACAACTGAGCAGTGTTCTAAACTCAGTTGCGGCCGAAGAGAAATATCAAATCCCTTCCGCGAAGGCTTCCGCGGAGCTTGCGTGGCATGAAAGGTTCCTTCCGCAAGAGGTTTGAAGAGGGAATCGCTTCCGCGTCGCTTCCGCGGATTGAGAAATGGGATTGAAGTTCGGTTTCGCTTCCGCGCGTGAAGGAAAACTACAATTTCTTGCTTTCGTGATTGAATCGCAGCCCTTCCGCGAAGCTTCCGCGAGCACATAAATGAGAAACCCCTTCCGCGAACCTTGCGCGGCGCTTCCATGACCTGTGAAAAGTCAACATTTTGAAAACGATATTGCCTCCCGAATGCTACTTTCAAGCGCAGGGGTTGTAGAACATCGCTCAACTCTGAAACTGTACTGGGTAGCTTTGCCCGCGACCCAACATGGTACGTTTCCGGCCTCTCATTCCTATTCGGATTCGAATCGACGCCCAACAGCCCAACCTGTGCGGAAGGGGCCTGGAACCTCTGCGCCGACCACCTGAGCGCCCAGCATTCCATGAGTGGGTTTTGCGAATGGAAACCCGTGTCCCTTTCCTTCAAACAAGTAAAGTTTGACCTGGAGCATGCTTCCCCTGTCAAGTAACTAACGTTGAATCCTGCCTTCCCCTGATAGCCTGCCTGAATTCCGGACCCCCGGCAACGGGGTTCCAATTGAGACCCTGGCCGCCGCAGCGGCCAAGCACCGCAGCGCCATGGGAGCGCCATCGGGACCAAAGGCTCCAAGGACGTGCCCCTCTTCTGCAGCGAGCCCAGGTGGCATAGGGCATAGGGCTGTCATGGGGTCCAGGTGAACCAGTTTGGTGGCGTCAAAGGGTCGTTCCGTAGCGTGGCAGGCAAACAGACGGACAACTTGGACTCACCATCCCAGGGAAAAAGAGCAACCCTGTCCCCAATGCAGATCAAGGTGGGACATCTTCTGGGCTGGTTAAGTCATAGTGGATGGTCAAGAGCGATATAAGCCTTGCATTGCCCACTTTGGAGCCTGTGGCTGTGCGAGCCAAAGCTGGCGCCACGCTCACCTGCGTCGACCTCCCCCCCTCATTCCACCATCTTCCCACGAGTAGCTTTTACAGCGCTTTCCACCGCCGTTGGTCTCAAAACGGGTATATATGTCACTCGGTATGTCTGCCTTTTGGGGAAGGCGCCCTTCTTGGGTTCCTGAGAGAAACCGCACAACGAAAAAAACTCATAGGCATCCTCAAAGCAAGCCATCCTCTCCGCCAAGGCGTGGTCCCTTGCTCTCTGCAGCTCCTCCTCCTTGGCCAACTGCGCCGCGTGCGCCTGCATCCCTGCCCCTCCGCCCCAAGGCCCTTGGGGACTGAGCCAGCGAACGACCCAGGTGATTGCACATACCACCAACCACACTTCACTAGATAACCACAACAAAATCAACATATTATGGGGGGTTCACACAAACAAGTTGCCTAGGATGAAATGCAGTCAAGCAGGGCCTTTATCGGCGACTATCATCAGCTCGGCATGCCACAGTGCTCAACTGTGTGGTCCGCCAATAGCGCCTACTCTCGCCTCCATCATTGGGGCAACCCGCATGCTACTCGTAAATGATAGACTTGGGACTAGAAGTTAATGATGGAAGCCGCTTCGCCTGCCAGTGAGCGGCCAGTGCACGCATGACAAAGTCAACATGCTGACGGGCCACACGGACTTGCGCCTGCTGATGCTCCTGCATCACAGATCGCAGCCCGGCCAGCTCCTGCCGCCGTGGACATTTCTTCCGAAAGGTGGCTGCTTGTAAAATGCAGCCACCAAATGGGGGCTGAGGGACCCATGCCACCCTGCAGCCTATGTCTTCTTGGATCCCCGTTGGCCCAAAAAAAAAAAGGGACGACTTCCTGGCACACAGTTCAACCCTGCTCACGATGCAAAGTCCTGAAACTGGCTGGGTCAGACCAAACAAAGGCGTGTCATCGAACTGCTGCCCTTCAAGCGGGAATGCGCTGAGCCCCAGTTGTCTCCGGCTTCGGCTATCGTCTTTGCTCCTCCTTGAGGCTGGAGCCCTCCAAGTATCGGACCCGCTTGCGCCTCAGCCGTCAGCAAGGCCCCTGGTTGCCAAGCAGTCCAAATGGTGCTGGCTCCCCCACTTCGAAAGCTATGGGGCCTCTGCCCGTTGCTTTTTGAGTTGCATCATGCGCTTCAATTCACTTCAGGGGGAACGGTCAACCAGCCTCACAGCGTTGGGAGCCGTGCTGGATAATCCGCCGGCACAGGGTGGCCATCTGAAGCCTCGGGCCGATAAATCGGCCGCTCGAACGATACCGGCCTGAGAAATATCCACCCCCAACAATGCAAAGGCAACACATGGTTGGGGCACGGACACCCACGAGACAAATGCACATAGTTGTTGGGTGGGACTTTCTGGAGAGTACCCTTTGCGCGATTGGTTTGCAGGGCAACTTTGCGACAAGCTGCCAGGGAACGTCCAACTCGAGATATGCATGCTAGTCTGCAACAAGGTTCAAAGTAAAGCCCTGAGTTAGGCTGGGAAAAAAGGCAAGCTCATCTTGGGTTGATACCCATTCCTCTCTGCCAAAAGCTTCCGCTTGGACATGCAACGGGAGGGTGACATGGCAATGTTTGGATGGGTGGCTGGGGATGCGGGAGTCTAGGCGGCACTCTGATCCCTCAAGAGCATGACCCAGCACCCAACTTACCGATTGAACAACTGAACAGACATAGCAGGCAGCCAATTCCTGCACTCCTCATGGTTCGCAATTTGCACACCGGCTCATTAATGCCCTACCTCGGGCACACTCGGTAAGTGTTCGGGGGTTGGAACACGCATACTTCAGAGACCAGACAAGAGACCGGCAACCATGGATGCAAGCCCAAAGCAACCCTTCGCGCATTTGCCTTTTTTTTCCGTGCTTTGTTTTTTTTGTTGGTCAGCAGGTTGGCTGAAGGCATAGGCAGACATGGTGAAACCAGGAAACAGAAGCAGCAATGGCACCCAGAAAGCATCCAACCTACAAACAACAAAGCCAGTTGATGGCAACCAGTGAATGCCAGTGGCAAGGAGACCGTGCTCCAAAGCACTTTTCAGGCTGTATGCGCCCCTGTCTTGCAAACCAAATGTCATTTGTGGGTTTCGAACAACGGGCGCTACAAGCAGCATATATGTTGAAAAACATGCCATTAACCTCAAAGTCCTATGGTCATGCCTGCTTCCGCATAGAAAAACACAGCTCTGCATGGCAGCCACTGGATGCAGCGCTCTATGTTCCAGCCAAAGCATGCTGCTTTGACTGAATTACTATAGGAGGTGCCGGCCTGCCTCTAACACCTGCATAAATGAGGGCATCTTCTCCCTACAAATCTGCGTCTTAAGGCTGCTGTGGCCTTGCAGGCCGGTCGGGTCTCAACTTGACTGAGCTCAACCGCCCAGCGCCTCTCGCAATGCCTGCCTACGGTTGCAGGTGATCCGATGGGCCGAGGTGCCTGGCCTGTCGCATGTCGCATCTGCGACACATGCGACGCTTTGCCTCGGGGTCTGTGAAACTGGAACTGCTCACGAACAAAAACGGAGCGAAGGATTGCTTTGCTCCTGGGCGGAAAAGGATCGCCCCGAGGGGAACTCTTGATCAAGACAGTCCTGGAAACAAACAGGCCTCCCAAAGCCGGCGCCTCCAATGCTGGCACAACAAAGGCAAAGTAAACGTCCAAGAAGCCCAACGTGACAAAACAACACATAGTTATCGGCACGTGGGCTTCTGCTCCTTCTGCTTCCTCCTCGCCTACCTACTTGCCCCAAGTCCCCATGGTCGTTGAAGAAAACACCCGATGCGCCGATTCCTTGAATGGCCAATCGCCAGCCAAAATCTGATTGAACTATAATTGACCAGTCCCAGGCTTTCCTTCAAAGGGGCAGGGCCCCATTTTCTGTGTGGTTCGAATCCAAACCTCATTTTCGGCGGCCTTCATCCCTCGCGTTTCTCTGTCCTCAGGGATCCTTCAGGAGCTGTCCACGCTTCCAGTTGCCCTCCTGGCCGTGCCGCGCCCACAAGCATGGCTGCAATAACTGGCAATAACTCATTAACGCACTTGAAAGGCATAGGGCGTAGGCCAGCAGTCGGAGGGTGACACTTTCCGGGGTGTCAATGAGCAGACATCCACTTACTGCTTCAATCTGAAAGGGGGGCACGGGAGCCTAGTAAAAGCAGGAAGCAGTGTTTCAAGAGTTTGGCAACTTCTCAACACAACCAAGACACAATGTGTCGAGGCTTTCGCAAGATGCAGGGCTCGGTGTATCTCATCCGGCTTGCTGACAAGACATGCTTCAAAACCTGAAGATACCTCACGCAAGAGTCTTAGAGTGTAGTGGAGAAGGAGTTCACATTCAAACATCGATTATCAAGCTGCCATGCCTGCGGAAGAACCAGGGGGAAATCCTTGGAAGCACGGGGACAGCCATGCCAGCGTGGGATCTTTTCCAAGAATGTCACTCGCCACTACGGCATCGAGATTGCATGCAACTCGTGCGCTCCCTGTAGCTTGGCTAGCGCGAGCGCAACTGAGGCAATGGCAACTTCGGAATAGTTCGGAGGACCGTACCAATCAGGGGTACGTCCCTCTCTTGTTGGGAATCCATTCATTTGATTTTTTAGGCGGATTCCTCTGATTGGTATGGTGCCCCAGGTTCTCCCAAGTTCCCATCGTTGCAAATACTGCCAGGCATCCACGTGCTTCACGCGTAGAATGCCTGGTGAATTCCTGCAGCATACACTTAACACAAAATGTCGGCCCTTGTTGCACCAATGTGGCTCGCACTGAGGCTGGCATTCACTTGAAATTCGCATGCCGCAGCTTTGCCACAAGAGCCGAAGTCCCTTCGAGACTGGCACACATTTCGGGGGGGCTTGCAAGAGGTGACACAGGCGCAAAAATCAAATGTTCTTGAGGATCTGTCTCTGCTGGGCTTCCAGGTCTCTAGTCCGCTTGCCCAGCACCTCTGCAAATGGGCCGGATGGCGTAGCCAAGACCAAACTGGGTGAGTGTTTTGAGGGCACCCTTTTTGAGGTGGTTTTAAAGGAAAAACGGCCCCTGTTCTGACACGCGCACACACTGCGGTTTTGCCGACGGGCTGAGGGATAAAGGGCTGAATCCGATCGGCTGGAATTGGGAAATGCCCGGATGGCCATGTGCCAAACCTCATGCCAAAAAGTAATCATCCTAAGATTCTACGGTTGAAGCCTTAAGTACAGCAAGCTACAAAACGACGGCAGATTGCGGCACATTAACTACATTCCGGGCACTTGCGACATTTGTGGCATCAAGCGTAGGCACAACCAAGCGCAGTTGCAAAGCCAAAGCATCGCGGGGCGCCGTGTGATAGGATGCCAGCCTGGGTTTGAGCAAGTTTTCCCAAACCCACTGGCTTGGCCCGCGTAGTATCTAAATACGCAGTTTGGAGCTCAGGGGGCATCTTCCCCTGTGCAACAGCCAAGGCCATGACCTTAAAGCACAGCAACCTCGCTGTAAAAGAACATGCATGCAGGAATCACCCGGCTACCTGACAGCCTGAGCGCGCCCCAATCCCACGGCCTCCAGCACCAGGGACACGTTGTTCAGCACCTCGAGGTGGACGGACCATCCACATTTCTTCTATTAGCCTAAATTCACATGGCCCCAGGCAACAGGCAAACAAGGAAAATGGTTTGTGCGAAGCCAAACAGCTTTGGTTTCCTGACAGCTCTCCGTTCACATGTCTTGCGTGTCAGCCATTGCCGCATGTCAGCCTGCAAGGCTGCTAATGTTGGGCAATGGTCTTGCATACTGGCACTTTGTGGCACCTTCTTATCTGCAACCAGTTTAAGATGCAATGTGATGTAATTAGTGCAATTAGATGTGCTGATGTATGCACAATTGCGTATACATCAGGAACCTTGCCGCCGCCCAAAGACCCCTCCAATCGTTAAGGCCTTGTTTACTCGTAGTGTGTTCTGTTTGGCCTTTCTTCGAATATTCAGCCTTCACCCTGGTTAAGGGGGCGTAATATGCAAGCACGCAAGCACGTATGCATTGCCAGCGACATGCGACAACGCAATGCCATCACACAGAATGCACTTTATGTTCGTATGCGTCACGCGTGACTTCATGCAGGCCCCATCCCTGCCCACCTCCATAGACTCCGCCATCTCGTTGAGCAGCACGCCCCGCGCGCCCCGGCTCCGCTCAACCACCCCGTGCGCGATGTGCCGGGTGGCATCGATGACCAGGTCTACCCCATCGTCCGTCAGCTGCGGGCTATTGGTTTGGATTGGTCTTTTAAGGTGCGCCCCTCTATGCTTCAGAATGAACTGTGGAGGGTTACCTGAGCATAGTTAGCGAGATGCAAAATGAGTGTGAGGGATAGCCTTCAAACTGTGGACTCCCTTACTGCCCTGCAAGTTCTGCAAACATGGTGTCTTACTTGCACAACCTCCCTACTGAAGTTGAAACAGGGATCTGCCGATGGCTGGCACTGCTGGATGGCGCGCGCGTTCCGCCCAGTTTGGGCCGCGCTGTTGTTAGCAAAGGTGCTCTTTACGAGACCCTCTTTCCAAGGGTGCCATCATGCCCATGAACAAACAAGGGGAGCCCGTCAACCAATCAAATCTAAGCAATGTGTGTGTGTGGTGTCTGTGCCTTTGAGTGAGGGACTTGATTTCGTCCTCCACTGGCAACAGCCCCGCACATGCTCCGCAAACTGTTCAGGCCTTCTGGTCATCGACTTCATTGCCAACGCTGGTTGAGGTGCTGCCAAAGGTAAGCATAAGGTCGGCCTCCTGACATTCAAGAAATGTGGCACGAGGTGCTTTCTGCTTAGGCATCGTTCTCTCTCGTTCTCTCTCTCTCTCTCTCTCTAGTGCTGACGGAAGAGGGCAGGGCTGAAAGGTCTGCATGTTCAACACCTCTCTAAGGTGCCATGGTCCAACCGGAAAGCAAACAAAACCCACACACACACACACGCCCGCGCCTACATGTTCAACACCACTCTAAGATGCCATGGTCCCATGCACACCCACACCCACACGCACAAGCACACGCGCACGCAGCCACACACCCACCCACCCCTCCACCCACACCCCCACCCACCCCCACCCCCACTCCGAGTGCTTTGATGCGCTTTTGGATGAACAAATCTATCAATCAGCCGTGAGTCACCCGCGCCAGTGAGCCATGATCCCCTCCCCGAGCCCAGACCTCAAGCAAGGCTCCTTGGACTCTCTCAACTGGTCCAGCGTCCTCAAGGGGCCCAGATCTGGCTCTGACCCCTCATCCTCGGACTCCACCTTGTCCTGCCGAGAGTCGAACCCCCATAAACCCCGATTCAGCACCAAACAGAGCCTCGTGCCTTAAAAAATGCTGCCTGGATCGCTGTTGAGAGTTCTGCATTTGTGGGGCCCCTGGCAGTCATAGCTAATCATTGATAATGCGGTGCACACTTATCAGCAGGGCAGCCATCCACATCTGACGCGGAAAACGGAACCCCATTCTCTACGCTTCTGCCTTAAGCAGGGTTCGGTAAAGCCGCTGGTTTTGGCTACAGGCGCTCCAAACCTTACAGAACAAGCACAACCATGGTAGCAGTTCACAGCCTAAAGCACCAACATCTGCTGAGACAAAGCAGGGCAAAGCAACACTGGACCATCCAAGTCACACTAGAGAGTGCGTTCTTGTGCGCGGATTGCCTGTGTGTTGGAGCTTGAAGGTTTCAATATGTCCATCCCTGTGCAAGCTTGGGATCTTGGGGGCGAAATCATTTAGGAGGGCGGTCTAGGACTCCGAAGCCTTGCGGACAGAACTCCTTGTCACAAGCTTTCAAGCTCCCAAGATCTCCATGAGGTCCGTCTCGAAACGGGGAACTTCAAAAAAGAATGTGGTTTCACCTGACCTGCCCTTTCAATCCACAACTTAAATCCACCAAACCTCAGCACCAGACACCCAGGTTGATCGGAACCGCCCTCGCCTCAATGGCCACGGTGGCCAGCTGACGCCTGGGGCGCCGGCCCCAGGTGGCCGAGCCCGGGCCCAGCGCGATGGTGGAGTCCTGCATCCGGATCCTCGAGGTCCCGGGCCAACCGCGGGAAACGCGCGGGTCCGACAACATGCGGCTTGCGGCTTTGGGAGGGGCTCCCAGACCGAGCTGAACTTTGCAAAGTGGGGATGGCTGGCTTTCCTTTGGCGCCCATTTCTAAAACAAACAGGAAGGTAGCCAAAGGGAGGGAGGAAACCGAAGCAACCCCCCGCCCTCCCCCGCAAGGAACGGGTTCGGATCAGAGGGTGCCGCGGGTTGGCACGGGTTGGCACGGGACATTGCCATGAGCAGAAGCTGTCAATTTGAGTTGCTGGAAAGTTCTAGTTATTTGTTGGCATCCTCAATGTGGAGCTTTGCCAGCATGCATTCTGTTTGCCGATCGGCATCTGGAGAATTTCGCGCCTGCTGGCCGCAGCCGACTTCTACCCTTCTCAAAGAATCCCAAAAGGAGGCAACTCTGGATGGAAATCCAGAAGCGGCCTACCAGCCTGATTTTGTCTAAACAGTGTGCTCTGCAAGTAGACATGCAGCTGGACGAACTCACAAGGGCGTACACCCTGATGAAATGCATTCCTTTGCTTCCACCTGTCCCCCCCAAAAAAAACAAAAAACATATGCATTGGACCATGACCTCATCCCCGAGAGAAAAACAAAAACAAGAGAAGATGGCATGGCAAACGGAAATCAGGGCATGCAAGCGTAGTGATCCCAGGGAAAGCCCTTGCAGTGACCCCGACCGTCACGCGATCAAAGGCTGAATGTCCAAAGGAACTCCTATGCACCCGCAGCTTGTTGTTGAACAGGCCTTAAGTATAGCATGATGAAACCAGCCACCATACAGGGGGAAAACATGGCCACGGGTTCACCCAAAACAGGTCCAACCAGCCTGTACGGGTCTGTTGGTCTGACTATCCGGCCAGGGGACTTCATCTCCTTCCCCAAGACCATGTCATCTCTCTCCTTCTCATGGGCCTGGACCCTCTGATGCCGCTTCATCAAGCGCGAGTAGAGCCCAGGGAAGCAGGAGCGAAACTGCTTCTCCATCTTCCCTCCGTAGTTGATGGCATGCCACGAGTCGGTGATCCGATCTTGCAAAACCGCCCACTTCTTCTTCTGCTTGGAGTCCTCCTCCGCTTTGGCATCCGAGAGGGTGCTGACAATGATGGCATAGAACAAGTTCATGATGATGAAGAAGATGCTCACCACGTACATCATAATCAGCAAGGCCCCAAGAAAGGGGGAGACTTCATAGATCACCGACACATCGCTGTTGCCCAAAATCGTCAGCATGATGAATCGGAAGGCCTGGCCGCGGCAGATCTCAAAACACCAGATGCGAAGCTCGCCGTTGCTTCAAGGAGCTTGCGCTTTCGATTCCAAGAGGTAGACAGAGATGCGTGCGCGTTGAGGGTACCCTTTTCAGGCGTGTCCGAAAAAAACCCACCGCGATGTTTCCACAAACCCCAAAGATCAAGCCAAAGCTAAGTGGCGTGCGTCTTCCTTGCTCAAAGGTCGTCCGTGCGCACCACGAATGGCGGAAATGTTTAGAACGCTCTATCACATCGCATGAGCTTGAAGCCACAACTTTATAGGCTGAAGTATCAAAACATAATGAAAAAAAAAAAACGGTGCAACAAAGTTTAATGAGTCTAGACCTCACGTGACCGAGCCAAAGCTTCGGCCTGAAAGGGCGTGCGCAGCGACGACACGTCGCCACCAAAGGCTGTGCTCCAGGCCAGGACGAAGCCCACCAAGGTGGTGATGAAGACCACAATCCTTGCGTTTGGAAAAGCTTGATCAAAACCTTCTATTTTGGAAGGACACCAGCATGGTTGAGCTCCAGATTTGAAACATAGCCACCTACTTACATGCTCGCAAAAGTGCGAATGTGTGTAACTGCCTGGGTACTACTGCAGATGTGCACACGTTCGCCTGTTCCACTCAGGCGCGCAAATATTGAGCGCATAAGCATATATGCACGCGCCTACCCCCGTGCAAAGTCGCAAATCAACGCACGCGCGTGCTGCTCATCTCGTGGCTCCACCGACAAGACCGAAAACAGCGCTTCTCACGGGCAAGGGTCCAGGAGCCCAGGTTCTGCTGAGAAATGCTCACGGTTTGCATGAAGGTGGTCACGTAGGGGATGATGTTTATGTACTTCACCTCAGTTTGACGATTGGGCAAATCAAGCTTCAAAGGCAAGGAAGGATCACTGAAACTCCCAGCATCCCCATTTCTTCACCCTCATAGGTCCTTTCACCAGAAAAACACAATTCGTTCAGAACCTCCGCGGAATTCTCCCCCAACCTTTGGCCAGAACCCCCGATGACTAAAACCCGTTGCCGGAGAAAGTAAGAAAGACAGTCGCCAAGTCGCCGCCTTGAACCAGGTGAGGATGGTATTGAAAGATACCAAGCTCTGAATTTGCCGCACGTTTGCCGCCACCCCGTGGAAGTCGGAGTACATGTCCATGGTGACGTCGTTCCAGTTGGACGGGGAGATGACGTACAAGCTCCCGGCCTTGGACCAGGTGTCCACCTTGTAGCAGACCGTGATGATCATCATGATCAAGTTGAACCAGTCCAAGATGTTCCAGGCATCCATGAAGTAGTCCTTGGTTCAAGAAGACAAGAAAATAAACGTTGATAGGCTGGCCTTGCACAGCCAAACACGCCAAATGCCCGCCGCGAAATCCTGAAGAAGTTTAACGCCTTCAAGCACAGTCCGCGGGAAGCATCGGATACATCGGATGGCACGGCCCACTACAGTAGGTGTGGCCTGGTGATTGGTGTTCATCTGACCCACGCCGATTTGAGGTGCAAATCATTTTGCCACGGCTCCCACTTGATGGCCAGCTGCATGCCGGTGCCTTTGGACTCAAAGCCAATGAACTCCGACGCCTCGGGCAAGCTTAGCTTTTCTGCGGCGCTCTCACCGGAAGCGCACGCTTACGCGCTTCCAGTAGGGTGATTTGGAAAAGCTTGAACGGCTAGCCGCTTGAGACCTTCGGTCGCAGTGGCATGCCTTTCGGTCTTGAGAAGGATGAAACTGCCCCCAGCTCAAATGCAAGAGCCAGGTTTTGAAGGCCGTGGTGCTGCCAAGTTGCGAGGTATCCCTATAACACCCTTTATGATACGCAATCCAAATATCATGCAAGCAGCTCTCACCCAAGCCAAAAGGCCAAATACGGCTGATATAGATACGCGCTACAACACCTACCTACCAACCAGGAGGTAGACCTGCTTACTATTTGGCAAACCAGCTTTTGGTGCTCCAGATTTGCTGAGGGGACCCCAACAGGTCCTCACTACCCAATGCTTGGCGTTGCACCAGTGGGTTTCTACCGAAAAGAGCTGCACTAGTGGCTATGTTTCACCAAAGCTGCGTCAAGGGCAAACGACACCCGGCGACGGCATTGCCAAGGGCCTCACCATAATTGAGAAAGTAGATGGCACTATTCCTTTGACGTCTGTAAACCCAAATGTGGAGACTGCGCCATCTACTTTGAGCCTTTAAAGAGGTATCCCCCCAAATGCCCCTCCCTCCTCCTCCAGCACGTAGCGCAGCACAAAAAGCACCAGGGCGGCCTCAACAAACAAACGTGGATTTGCCGCGCGTCCGCGATTCAAAACAAGGCCAGTTGTGTCCCAAAAGCATCCAATGTAGGAAACCCACCCACCTCCCACATGGTTGAATGGCGTTTGGTCTTTTTTGGTGGGGGGAGGGGGGAGCTGTTTGGATGTGTGTTGTTGTTTTTGCTTGATGGGGGGGTGGAGGGAAACAATAGCCCACACGCAAACACGGACACACACACACGCACACACAGAACGGGAGGCAAACCCCTGCCACACCCCAAAATGTGCCAAGTGCACCAGGCGACCAAAAACCATCCCCCGACGCCCAAATTCGCAGAAGGCACCGTGGCACTGCTACATGGGATATATCTGCCTGCTTTATGAGTAGCGGGTCAACAACACTCACATGCGGTATGCCAAACTGTTCCCAACAAAGGAAGCCAACTTACTCAGCTCGTCAAAAGCCGTCACTGTGCACTTGCTCCAGTGGTGAACTTAGGATTTGCCAATACGATGGACATTGCCACAGCCGACAGTGCACAAGGATAGCCAAGGAGAAACCCTTCCGTGAAGGAAAAAAACCCTGGCCATCAAAGAATGGCAGACGGTTTAAGCCAAAGCCGATGCAGGCAAGGCCACCGGAAAAGAAAGAGGAGGGCAGAATCAGCGCATGCCGGAGATGGCAGAGGGATCAAACTCCGGAATTGTCTGCACTTGGCGCAAGCGCAAACAAACCAAAACAAAAGTTTCGGTGGGCAAGTAAGCCTGGAAGGCTTGGGGCCAGGACGGCCGCAGTTGGAGCCCCGTCCACGACTCACGAGGCCGCGCTGCTTTGTGAGGCTGAGCCCGGGGGCGCCATTCTTCTGGCCGAAGTGCGCCGACGGTTGGGGGTTGCTGATGCTGGCGAAGATGTGTGGTGCCCCTGCTGCCACGCGGGGGGAGCGGGCCAGGCGAGAAGCCGGAGGTGCTCCTAGCCCAGCGTCCACATGAGGTTGGGCTCTCCCAAACCAGCGAAGGCAAGGCCACGCCGGCGCCTGCTGCTGACAGGGGAGGCCAGCAAGGGTGCTGAAGCACTCCTGGACCTTGATGTCGAAGGCAGCAAAGACACCACATGCACCAGGCGGGTGTGCTCCGCACTGGCGCGGAGAAAGCGCAGGCCCACCTGTGGGTCCTCGGCCTGCGAGAGGGCAGACCTGGCTCGGCCGTCCATGTTAGCAGTGAAGGCATCATCCCCGACGGGGGCCCCAAGGAAGTCAAAGTGTCGTTGCACGCGACACTGGACGTCGGCAGCTGGGCCTGCAAGGCCGCAACAGGCAACCACCTGTTTCAAGGTCACCCCGCAAGCTGCGGCAGTGCGCTCCACATCAGGGCAGCGGCGACGGGGCCGACATCGCCAGCCAGCACTGTCTGTCACCCCAGAGGAGGAGGTCAGCACGTGCTCACCGCACAACGCGGTCCACTAGGCAAGACGGTTGCTCGATGGGCACCAAAACAAGGGCCCGGTTGCCCCCTGACTCACCCAGCTACGAATGAGTTGCCAAGTATCTCACTTGTGGGTTATGTCGCCAGTCAAGGCTGGAACAAGGTGTGATACAACTAGTCATCCCTGATAGCCTCAAAAACATCAATCAAACCAAGTTCAATGGTATTGCCAGGCGGGACCTGTGCCCAAAAATGCTTGAAAGCCATGCGCTTGACAAAGACATTATGCCATGTCTGGCAAGTCCAAAGCTCTGTAGGTTGGTGACGGCAACTAAAGTGAACATTGTCTGTCGACTCTTTGCCTGTGCTCATCGACTGTCACTCGCCTTGCCTCAAGGATGAGAAAGAGCCAGTCCTCTGTGGAGCCAGCACCCAACGGCTGCAAATTCCTGCGGCCCAAGACAACCCAGGCCTGCATGAATGTTGACCCTGATTCATGAGACGAAAGCTGGCACCGTTCGCCAGAAGTGCCAACGCTACCTTTTTAACAACCTGCTCTGGACAAGTCCTCTTCCCAGGAATCCCCCTTGTTGAAATGGCCATGTAAGCCGATGGAACAAGAATGCGCCCGGGCAGCAAGAGGGAAGCCAGTCCGACCCAAACAACCAGGACCATTGAAACAGCAAGTCTAAAGCAAAAGGCAAAGCATGCCCTGGGTAATGGCAGCTTGTGGCGGGAATCGAACCCCATGCCGCTCCCCCTCCCCCCAAAGTACAAACCTCAAGGCCAGCTTTCCGAACAACAAATGTCTCTTTATTGGCGAGCCGGATGCCTCACAAAAACCAGCTACAGGAATGACGGTAGGAAATCAAATGACCACTATGAAACAAGGACGTCCTGTTGAATGTCCTGTGAAAACAAGGTTTCTGGGAACATTGGGTCCTGAACCATCACTTGCTTTTGGTTCGTTCGCTCAGGCGGGTGAAGCCCAAAGCCTGAATGCGCCAGATGACGCTGCTTGTCCGCACAATCCATTTGTGAGCCTTTCAGCCTTCTGCCTTGAGTGGTGACATTGTGTCATTGTGTCCAAACCTCCCCTGAGCGACACCAGGAAACCTTAAGACATACATCGGCCGGTATCCTTGAAAAAGGCCGCGACACATGGGTGTGTCATTGTTTGACGGCACTGTTCCATTTTTGGGGTTGGTTAAAAAGGAAGCTAAAAGCAGAACCAGCCATTTTCGGGGTCCCCCTTGAAGACGATCCATGCTTCTCGCGGCTCCTCTGCATTAGGACGTCCAGTTCGAAGGTCTGAGTCCAGTCGCCGGCGGCGGCGATCTCGAAGACGATGCGACAAACACCGTAGAGCCCCAGGTTGAAGTTGTAGATGGTGAACTCCTCGGCTCCCGTACATGGTGTGCTGCTGTAAGGAACTCTCTCCCCATTTTGGGGCTCTCTCTCTCTCTCACTCTCTCTCTCTCTCTCTCTGCCGTTGGCGCCCGCCCAGTTTTGGCTGTGATACCAAGGTAGATCATCAACATCATCTGTGATACTATCCGTAATGCTATGTATAGAACAGGTTAAACAACCGGGAAGGGTCACAATTGAACCCTGTACTCAGCGCGCTTTTTCCTTGAGCCACGTGCAGTCGTAATGATGAGACTGCACAAGTGAGACATGCATGCATTGGGGTTTACATGGTTGATAAATACATCACGTTGCAAACTACACCCCCCGTGCCCGAATGTGAAACAGGAGGACAAATGAAAGGGATGAGACAACCAAAGAAACCCGATAGGCATGATGTCATTTTGCAGCACACAAGCACTTGGATTTGAGCGATCGGTAGCTAAGGTCTTCCGCCTCCACTGACCGTCGCTCTCGCGAGGCGTGCTCGTGCACTGTACATTGATCCTCGGCCAACATGATTGAGAAGTATAATGGAAATTGAATTTGACATGTAAATGGATGTCAGCCGAAGATAGAAAATATTGTCGAAGAGATCGCTCATTCATCGCCAATCCCAATTGCGGGAGCTCTTCCACGGGCGCTGATCATCAGACCACCACGAGTCCCAGGACTGGCCCCAACTTCCCCAGTACGACTGGCTCCATTGACGATCCTGCCATTGGCCACCGGTCTCCCGGAGCTGCGGAATGGGCTTGCGCGTCACACCGACAACTGCAGGGAGCGGGGTGGCCCGCCCAGGGATCTCGATGTTGGGGATCTCCTCTTCGACGAAGCAGAGCAACTCCATCAATACCATTTCGGGGTCTCCCACAGACGAGAAATCCCGGGTCCAGCCCATCACGCTGTAGCGGTTGCTCTTGTCAAGGCTTCCGTAAAGTGCAGCAAATTGTTCTGGTTCCAGAAACCTGCCGCCATGCACAACGTAGACGTCCTTCGGGTCGACCTCCTGCACCTCCTCCGTAGGCGGCACCAGCGTTAGCCGTGCGTGATATTTCGGCACAGCCACGCTTCCTTGGATCATCTCCTTGGTTCTCACAAAGTTCGGAATGATGCATCGTGCCACTTTCTCGATGAATTCGAGGGCGGACGGCGTCAGGTCTCCCCGCGCGGCAGTGTAGGCGTAAAAGGGGTCATTGATCAGCCTCTCGTAGAGCGTGGTGTACTCCTTGTTGCGAAGAACTGCTTTCTTGGCAATGTCCTTCATGATTCCGAGGCCCCCTCTTGCGCTTCGATCCCCCCGCGCATCCTTTCGCTGCGTCAAGATCTGAGTCTCAACCTGGTCCATGGACAACGGCACGCCCAATGAGTTGGCCATCTCCTGCAACCGGACGACCCTGGCTATCTTCTTGATGTCGGGCATCCGTTCCATCAACTGGCTGCACTGGAAACAGTTGATGGTGCCAACCGGGATGAGAATTTTGCAGCGATTGCACTCGACATCAGGGATGTGCATCACTTCTGCGAACCGCCAGTTTGTCGACTTCTTCCTGTTGGGGTCGAGTTCCTGCCACAAACCGCTCCGGCCTCGGGTTTCCCCGGGCTGCTGCGTCACAGCACGGGCCCAATTTCTGTAGAGGCCGTAGCGAGCAGTCTCGAACTCAAGCATGACTTGCTCGTCCTTCGGAAGATTTTCGTCGACGACATCCTTGACTTTCGTGATATTGCCGATGCGATGGGGCCGAGTCAAGTCACGGCACGCCGTTGGAGCCCATTGCTTGTAGTAGGCCTTGCATTCCTTCTCGAGGTTGGCCATGAAGGACTCCAGCACCGGGGTACCGACGACGCCTTTCTGGGTCTCTTCTCGGTACTTCTTGATGCTCTCCTGGTAGTTCCGCCTGACGCTGACGTACATCCGGTTGGACCAGATAAACTTGGCACATTCAGCGTCGTAGGCGTAGATGAGGACCTTGTTCGTGATCCAATCCTCCGTCACCAGGGCTTCCCCGTCTCCGGGTGCGTACAGCCGACACCCCAATTGGATCAACATCTCCACATCGACGGCGATGTTGATGGGTCGGTCAGCACGCGCACCCCCCGCCTTCCGGCCATGCCTGTCCCAAGGAGGCACCACCGTTAGGTAGGCGTGACCACGCGAGGTTTGCCGGTCCCCCATGCCGCCCGGAAAGATGCCCATGTAGATGATGTCAAAGAAGTTCTGCATGTTGCACGTGTGGTAGGCGATCTTGGGCAGCGCCTTTCGGCGTGCGTCCGAGAAATCTTTGCAGAAGCCCGGTCGCACACCCTTCTTTGCGTGCTCGATGGAGTAGTTGACATCCATTGCAATGGGATCTCCAGGAATGTTGTCAAAGCCACTGGCCTCAGTCACCCAATCGTTGTGGCCGGTGAACGCGCGAATGCGTAGGGGCATGAAACTGAGCCCGTTCCATTGCTGTCCGGCCGGCGCGTACTCGACATAGACCTCGAACCGATTCGATGTGGACGTGGCCTGAAGCAGAGTGTATTGGGAGCAGTTCCAGTCATATCGGCGCTGGATCCACTTGGCAACGGCTGCGTAGTCGAAGGAGTTGTCCTTGAGATTGATCTCAGGGATGGACCGTGTCGCATGTTCGTGGGCATGTCCGCGAACCAAATACGACACCTTCTTGCTCAGGAACGTCCTTCTGCCATAGTTCTGGATCTGGGGAATCTTGATTCCTGAGCACTTGATCCACTCCCTCTTGGGTTCAGCAGCCTGGCCACGGGTCTCCCCGGGCTTTGAAGCAGCTTTGGGAACTGCCTTCGTGTTGGGGATGTTCTCCGGGCCACGGATCTCTCCGGGCTGAGTCTTGCCAGTCCCAGCCACGGGCGCCTGACCGCTGGATGAGGCAGCAGGCATTGGCATCGCCTTTGATTTCACCTTTGGTGTCGCAGCACTGAGAGCTGCAGTCATTTTGTTATGACTTTTCCGTTTGGAAGTGAGGAACAGCTTGATCTGGCCGTCCTCGCCGACATCGTTCGGATCCACTGCGGCAACCTCAACGGCCTGGCCTTTCGGCCGGCTGACCTTGGGCTGAGAGCCCGGGGGCAGGTCAAAGCTGATTAAGTCCTCCTCATCGGAAGATGAAGACCAATCAATTACGTCGTTGAGGCCGCTGACGGTCGCCGCGTGGATGTCGGGCTGCATCATTTGCAAAATCTTCGCCTCCTCCTTGACGGTGTCGAGAGGGTAAAGAGGATTCGCCTCCTTCTCGGCTTCCAGGAAAATTTCGCGCTTCGGCTCTTGCGCAGCGATTTCATTGATCGCTTCAAGCTCCCTCTCGCGGACCTCGTTGTCGAAAGGGTCCTCGGGGTTCTTCGCAATTGCCGGACCGCCAGTTTCCTGGGGTGTGGCACCGACGATGGGAATAGATGTGTCGATGTTCATGTATTCCCTTTCAAGGAGGTACCAGTTCATAGCCCCTGCGAAGCGGTTGATTTGGCCGATGCAGTACCCGAGCTTCGCGGCGGCCACATAGAAGTTGATGTAATGTTTTCTGTTGCGCTCGGTGTCATCGGTGTGGATGCGGTCTGCCCGGGACGTGTTGGATATGAGAGTCTGGGGGTCGAGGACGGTGATTCCCGCTGACCCGTGCAACAAACGTGCATGACCGTCCATTTGAGTCTTGTAAGATTCGCTCAATCCGTACGTCTCAAAGTCCCGGGGTACGATGAGCACGACCTGAATCACGTCTTCTCGAAAAGCAATATGTCGCAGCCGGTCACGGACAGTCATCACCGCGCGGGCGTTCCTTTCGATGATGTCCATCGCAGCCTTGCGCTTTGCCTCGGAGTCAGTGGCCCAGCCCGCTAGGGCGGCGGGGTTGTCAATGTACCCGTTACGCCCAATGACATCATTTCCAGACCAGGAGATCACGATGACGTACGGCCGGGGCTCGGGCCTTTCGGCGAGCTTTAGCATTGCCCGCTCAGCGGCATCAAGAGATTCCGCTAGTCCTTTGCCCCATGTCATTTCGGACCAGACCTCGTGCTTGTGCCCAAACAGCGTCCGCTTGTTTTCCTTGATGATGGTGCCAACATCTGTCTTTGCTCCATCTTTGACCAATGCGTTGAAGGAGTCGCCGAAAAACAGATAGTTGACCGCGGGTTTCCCCGGGCAGAAGAGGATATCGAAAGCCTCAACCGGAGCCTCTTTGAGAACACCCGCAGCACCTGTCAACGATGACATAGCATTCTTGGCGAGAGCCAGCGCATCGGTGCGTTCACTCATCTTGGCAAGATCGACACCGGAGTTCACGTCCTTGACGATGAATGATTGAGTTGCCGCATCACGGAACATGTCTGACCAAGCCTCTCGGTTGGCGACGCGCAGCTCGTCGGGGATGACCTCGGCCTTCACCTTCCCATCGTGCAGGATGTAGTCCGAGCCGTAGTCAACCCGAGCGAGCGGCACATCTTTGTAATTCCTCGCATCGAACGCCGAGCGCACCGTCTTCAGGGCCTTCTCCACAGGCAGTGCTTCAGCCATGGTCGCAACGAGAATCCGTGTTTGGACAACCTTTTCTTGAACCGACACTGCATAAGCAAAAGCTTTGTGAATCAAGTCCGTCATGATGTAAGTGTAGGATTCAGTATTTTTGAGATTCCGTCCCCTACCTTCAGCATGTTGGACAGCGCAAGAACATACTCTTCCATCAAGGTAATTGTGGAGGCAATGCATGTTGGTCTTCACGGTCCATGGTTTCTTCATAGGAATCCCATCGGTAGTTTTGACACCAACAGCGCAACCATCAAATTTTGACAGAAGTCATATTGTTTCGAATTACGAACTTGTCAACAGCCTTATCGTCCCAATAAGTGCAACTCCTAGGCCATTCAATAGCAATCAACGGTTTAGCAAATTCCATTGAGTTCACGAGGTCAACGAAGGCAGACCAAATTCTTTTGTAAATGGATCGATGTCGCTTCACCTTCTCTTTCGCGGTGTCATG